ACTAATTATACATGCAAACAGCCTCAGAAATATGGCCCAGACACACTATTCCTATTGTGTATATTGGGTCCAAATCTGCCCTCGGTTACAAATGTGCCATTTCAGTGGGGTTATATTCACTTTCAAGGCCCTTCACAGTCACTCCCCATGCTACCAATCATCTCTCATTTACTAGTAAACTGTCAATGCTCACCTCTGATCAGCCCACCATACCAGCCTTCATTGCCCACTTGTTACATTTTCAAACATAGACCTTCATGAGTCTCCCATGCTTCCCCACACACATGGGAGGGCTGTCACCATCCACAAAGCTGAAGTTCATCTCTCATTTAAAGCGATTGGTAGCTCCGTCACCATCTCTGTGCTCCAGGAGGTCTCTGGCAGTGTCATTTTCTATGAGTGCCTGAGCAATAGATTCAACATTAACATGCAATAAAGTGATCATATAAAGCAGAACATGTTTAATTTTTAAATGAGCTAAAAAGAGGTTTTTTTTTAATATTTTTTTCTCCAGAGTCTTTTTAGGCCTTAAACTTTCATCTGCTCTCTATTCTTGCTGTGCACTAAACTGGACCACCGCCAAAGGGCAAACTCTTGGGAGGCATCCACACTGGGGTGGAGAACTGAGGGGTGCCTGGGGCCTTCTGCATGTGCAAGGAGAGGATGGCTCCCCAGAGCCAAGAGGGAAATGTGTTCTACAGCCCTTCATCACTGCTCCAAGAAGTGCCTGCTGATGAGGCAGGTGCAGGAAGGCTGGAGGCCCAGTCACACTGCTGGGCTGGCTGGGCATACCCCCAGGGACCATCCGGCTCATTCGTCATCTCCTCACCTAGTACTCCAGAAAATGGTAGTTCCTCATCTTGCCCTGCTCTTGCCCAGATGGGGATAGAGAGGGAGGTTTCACCTGGGCCCTCTCCCGCCCCACTTCCCCTACTCTCCAGAGCATCAGTGAGGAACAGGCCAGATCTTTGCCCTAAGCAGCTATACTGATGGCAAAATACATAGGACATGCTGCATAGGTTCTTCTCCACTGTCCTCAGCCCCTTCTCACTGTATGTGAGTCCTCGGGAGCAGATACACAGGTCAAGCTCTCTTGATACTACCTGCATAGCCCACCCATCGTTACCTAAAGCTGGTGCCTCCTCAATTAAAGAAGGGAATATTTATCTGGCGACTCCATGAATGTAAAGAGGGAGAAAATCCGTATTAGGATGCCCCAGTAATGGTGCAGATTGAAGAAACTTTGTGGATATGAAAGAGGGTATTCAAGCTTTCAGGGAGGTGGGGGACATTTGGAGGGCATTGAGGAAGGTATAATTGCAACTGCTGACATTATAGCTATGGAGCTTCAAACGCACTCCCTGGGGTGAGGATTACTGGCTCACGTAAGAAGCCGTGGAATTGGGAGTAACCTAGAATTTTGGTCAGAATAAATCTGTCTCCACATCAGGAGCAGGAAAGCAGCTTTTCTGGCTGGAACGAGATCACGAGTGGAGAGCCACAAGGGCCGTCTTAGGGATCTTGTTTCCAAACAACACAGAGAAATGATTTGCGTCGTAATGGACCCCTGAGGATTGGCCTGTTCTCCTTCCTCCACTTTTTTGCCCCTTCCTGTCTTTGACAGCCATTGTATTACAGGTCCAGTCTACCCTTAAATTTAAGGTCAACATAGCTACAGTGTGCAGAGATATGAAAAATCCACACAACTGAGCACCACAGCTATGTCGACCTAACCTGTGAAGTACACACAGGTAGCTAGATGGCAGAACACTTCTGTTGACCTAGCTACCATCACTCGGGAAGGTGGTGTTCCTACGGCAATCAAGTGTTGAGTAGGGAGTTTTGATGTTCCAGCGTGAAATGTCTTACAAAGATCCCCCTCTAGATTCATGACCAACAAATGAAGAGACTGCATATGACCATCCTAATTTTTTACACATCACCTGGAGTATGCTGGGAAGGGACTATGAGGAGGCTTAGTCAGTGCTGGATAGATGCCCAAGTAGTGCAGACCTGCTCAACAGAACTCATCACTACTCTGCCACCGAGCCTAGGGGCCTGATCCAAAGCCCAAGACAGACAACAGGAGACATACCATTGATGTCAATGGCCTTTGGGTCACTCTGTTAGTGCACCTCTATTATTGCTCCAGTCCAGCAGGGGAAAAATCAGCTGAGATACAGATCCAAGAGCTGTCAGCTCATGTAAGTCTAAGTAGAAGATGCTCAGCATCTTAGAGGAATAGGCTGTGAGTTGATTCTCTCACAGGTTCCCTTTATAAAAGCTTTCCAAAAAAAGGCTGATTTCTCAGCAAACACCTATTTCCTATATTTCATTTACAACCTTAGCGCTGCAGCCCACAAGATCATGGGCATAAATACATCAAGTGTAGACATTTTAATGGACTTTCCTTGAAAATTTCAATAGACTTGCAACAGACAATCAGCTAAGTCAGCTGGATTAGATATTTGATACAATCACCACACCAAACGGAGTCATTGATCTTTAGAATTTTTTCAAGACATTCCCAAAACATTCCATAGAATTCTTCTGTGTATTACGGAGTTCCACCTAATCTCTCTAGCTGTATAGCTCAGTCTGTCTATTTATGCATTTTTAATACACTAGTAGTATCTGGGCACCTCTAGGAAGAATGAAATATTTCCCAGAGATATATTTCATTATAGCAGTAGAGTATTTTCAGAAACTCTGTGGGAGACATAGGATTTGCCACAATGAAGCAGACTATTGATCAACCAAGTCTGGCATCCACTGGCCAATGCCTGATTCTTTAGAGGACGGTACACTTTCTGCCTCTCCCCAAACCACAGATTATGCCCTTGGGCAGGACTGTATATGGAAGAAATTTTATTCCTTCCTACTCTCAGGAAGTGATCAGTTTGTACCCTGGAGTGGGACACTTGGGCACCATAAAAGTTAAATATAGCATCTCCAAACATAGGATGAAATTCACTCCTGTGCAGAAGACCAACACAAGGTCTAGGCACTTATTGTCATTGTTTGTATTACAGGAGCCCCATTGTGCTAAGCAGGGTACAGACACATTGTCAGAGACAGTCCTTTTCCTAGAGAGTTTACAGGTTAAACAGACAAGGCAGTCAAAGGGTAGCAGCGGAAACTGAGCATGGAAAGGTGAGATAACTTACCCAAGGTGATACATCAGGGCAGAGCCAGGAACCTTCAAGTTTTCCAGTCTATTGCCCTATCCTCAAACCACTCTTAAATCCCATTTAAACTCTCCTGTTTGTATGACTATGTGAGAAGGGAGCCAAATCTCGTTTGGGTCATCTAGGTGGCCCTGTAATAGAACTCATAATTATTATACTTCTTTCTAGTTCTGCATATAAACATCAGTCTCAAAGCTTACTAAAAGGAGTACTTGTGGCACCTTAGAGACTAACAAATTTATTAGAGCATAAGCTTTCGTGAAGTGAGCTGTAGCTCACGAAAGCTTATGCTCTAATAAATTTGTTAGTCTCTAAGGTGCCACAAGTACTCCTTTTCTTTTTACGGATACAGACTAACACGGTTGCTACTCTGAAACAAAGCTTACCAAGTTTCCTTCCTGACTCAGTTTTACCGTATAAAGTGTCTTTGTTTAGTCAACAGAAGCACTAATACAAGTGATTTTGTTGTTAATAGAGCTGTAAGAATTTTAAGTACCACTTGGTACTTTTCTCTTGGAAGTGTGTCATTTTCAGTTGGCTTTTCTAGACATCACAGGGTGTTGTACTAGTCTTTGTAAACGACTAGTGAATAAAACATTTTGATCCCAGCCACGTTTTGTACAAACATCATGTAGGTTTGTAAAGTTTCAGAAGGAATAAATCAAATGTAAAATATTGCATGACAGTTGACTTAGTTACTCGTGAATATCTAATTTAGAAAAAAAACACTTTTTTCTGAATATTCAGAAATTCAAATCTTATGCATATCATCAAGTGGCTTTGCACAATCCATAACAGATAGAACTGTTTACTAGGAATGGGGAAGAACAAGCATTTCACAGCTGTGTCTTATTTTATTTTTTCCAATTTGCTTTTTCCTCCTTCCCCTTTTTTTTTTTTAAAAATTAAGCCAGCTCCTCAACTAGTGCAAACAGATACTGCTCCATTCAAGACAACGGAGCTCTGCTGATGTACAAAAGCTGAAGAGTAGGCCTTGTATTTATTGGGCAGCTTGCCTATATTCAGGAGTAACACCACAGAGATCGTGTTAGATTGGTGTGAAACCAGTGTAAGCAAGAGGAGAATCAGACACAACTGTACACTGAAAAACTACATCCAGGTGGTAAGTCCCATAGGAAAACCTACTGACACAGGACCTTATGCTGCTCTCATTAGTAGCAACATAAAGCAGGAGTAACATGACTGAAGTCAATGGGGTTACAACAGTGTAAGTCTGGTAGAGGGGTACAATCTTGCATAGTCCTGAGAGCCCTCCTCAGCCACTGAAATCAAATGGGAGTTAAGGGCCTCCCAAGTGCTCAGGATCTTGCAGGATCAGGTCCTAAGCGAGACAAGAATCTTGCCCCAAAAGGGTCTAATTCTACAAAGTGCTGAGCAACCTCATCTCCCATGGACTTCCATGACTCCCCTTTAGCTCTTGGCAGGTGTTCGGCATTTTGCAGGATCAGCCCCTTACTGTAATAATTAAGGAACTATGACCGTGGCTGGATTGCATTTTTTCCCCTATGCAAAAATGCTGTACATTCCTTTACGTAGGTTTCCATAGAGTTGAACTGTTACTCTTTTTTTTTTTCGTTAAAGAGGTCAGCAAAGCTCTGTACAATGCGATTTCACTTTTATGAAATGTGGAGGAATTCAGAGAAACTTTTAATGGCTAGATGGTGGGGTTGGAGTGAAGTATAAAAAAAGCATACTGGAAATCCCAGTGCTGCAAAGAAGAAAGCAGCCTAGGAGTCCAGGGGCAAATTGCAAAGACATATTGTTTTGCAGATCCTAAGTTTAAATATGTTATTTTTCCTCCCGCTTCCTTTGTTAAAATGTGATATCCTAGCTTTAATTGCTTCAATCCTATTAGTTGTTCTTTTAAACACGTGATTGTGTATTCCTTTAGTGTACAGAAATCCCTCTGATTGTGGCTTCATATTATTTAGACAAGCACTCTTTCAGTAGTAAATGCCATTCCTAGCGTAGGGAAGTACTTTAGGTCTAAAGGGGTTAAGAAGGCCTCCTTGCATTCAGAAACATGCAGGGGTCCCACCGTGCCAGTTCCAGCCTTTTAAACTCTTTCCAGCTTTTTTTTCTTGCAACAAATCTGCCTGACTGCCACCAGGACATAGGAAACGTGTGCCTGTCAAAGAAATCAAGTTTACCTTTTCCGACTTGTTAAACGGAGGCAGGGTATAAATACCGCTAACTCTGTACGGACTATTAGCATTTCTCTTAAAATAAGGGGTTGCTTCCTAAGACTTTTAATCCAGTGCGGTCTAGACCAGACTGTACTACCAACAAAGACAGAAAGGAAACCTGCGGAAGTTTGATAGAGGGCAGGTGAATTTGGACTTCTTTGAAAATATAAGGCACACAAAAAAAACCGAAACCCAACCCAATTGTTGACATTTCTCTGGAGAAGTTCTGAGATGTTGTTGGCATTATTCACTCGGTGGATGTGGATCTTGCTGGGGAAGACCACTGTCCTGTTGCTTCTGGAGCTTCCTCTAGAGGGTAAAGCTTTACCTCCAATACGGTATTCTCACGCTGGGATATGTCCAAATGAGATGAACCCCAACCTGTGGGTAGATGCCCAAAGCACCTGCAAGAGAGAGTGTGATACAGACCTGGTAAGTGATGCACATTTTTGTATGCTTCGTCATGGGAAATGGATTTTTTGTTGGTTGGTTTGTTAGTTTGTTTACTCCATGATGTTGCAGTCTCTTTCAATTATAAATGGAAGAGCACTGATAATGTGTACATGATCCAATCCAGACAACTCATGTGTTTAACGGAAACTGTGTTTATAAAAATGTTTGATGACCTGTTGGTTAAGTCAAGAGGTATTTTAATGGAGTCACTTCTTTAACTGACCCTATGACTTTGTGACTACATGGCTTTCATAGTTCATCCTTCTCACTCACTGCCTCACCAAAGAGAACCTCATCAGCTTAGACTCGGGAATTTGACATGTTATTGGGCCAGCTCACTGCATTTTAGCATTTTCACCAACCTCATCATTCTTCATTGCCATCATCAAGTGCTATGTTTCCCAAGAGAGAGTTCTGTATGATGCCTATTGGTTGGCATACACATCACCAGCCTTTGCTACATTTGAAATGTAATGTCTGACTAGTTCAAAAAATAACATGGTAAAAATAATCATGCAGATGCTCTCTCATATGATGCCCCCAGAACAAAATGCACATAGCTTACAAGTCAAAAGGTCATTTTTAAAACTGCCTGCATAGCCACTCAATGGCATCTGAAAATCCATGCTTGCTCTTTCTGCTTCTTACAACTTCCTCAGCAGGAAAGATTTTGCAGTCGGAACCAAGCTGACAGTCATGATGCAGGAAAAGATTTGGCTCTCTTTCCACTACCTGGATCATTTCTGCAGTGCTAAAAGTAGCAAAAACTTATGTGTGGCAGTCAATTAAGCAGATATTGTTTAAAGACAAAAAAGGAGCTGATATATTAGGATGTTATTTTTATATTACTTTTCTGGTTACAATGGCATATTAAGTTGCCTTTTAAATTCAACTCTCAGGTACGCTAAAGAATGACTACTACTCTCTTTCAAAGGTTGCGGGCATTCCTTTCACAGGTTCCCGGTCAAACAGTGAAAATCCAGAAACCACTTGGAAAAAAAAGTCAGGTTTGCAGAGTGGCAGACCATAGTCCCATTCAGAGTCTGAGCCTTTGGGCCAGATCCTCTACAGGTGTAAATCCGCCAAGCTTTCATGGCTTTATTAGAGCTACACCAGCCTTATGTTTAGTCCATTATGTTTTGCAGATTTGCTTTTGGACCACAGCGCTGCATAGTTAGAAATGGGGAAGGAGCTAAAATAGTAGATCCTCTGGTTCCCGTCAATGAAAGGATATTGCACATGAATAATGGCCATATCACTGTTTAGTCTGATGGCATTAAAAGACAGCATGACTAAATTTTGCCATCAGTTACAGAGATGCCCAACTGGCTTCTATGAGATCAAAATTGTGTAACTAAGGGCAGAATTTGTCCTATTCTGTATAGGGTAACAATGTTCATGTTTCATTACAATAATCCATGAACCACATATTGTCTACAGTTCTACAAACCACACAAAAATATGTTTTCTGTTTAGAAAGGCAGACAACTACTATAATTAACCACAATTTAAAAATGATCATAACCAATATTATATTTAACATGGATGCTGCACTTAAAACTAAGACTGACAGAGACGCATAAGTGACAGCTAGCCCATAAGTGGATACTTTGTTTTCCATGGAAAACAAAATAATTTTGGAGCAAGAACTTAGTTTTGCCTTAGTTCTGAGCTATTCCATTTATAATATGTTGTGAACAATTAAAGATGTTTGGCAGTTTCCACTCCAAGAGTATGCTGCTAGTTTCATGGAATTCAAATAATACTCTACATACTTCTGAGGACAATAAAAGGGATTAATGACTATAACCATATGATAAGACTTTCCATCTGCTCTTACTTCAGGAGGCTTGTCCTTTGGCACTAAAAGAGGGTTCATTTGGGTTCGCGGTTACTTCTATAACCAAATGTTCGATATGATTTTGTGAAGGATTTACTATTGCTTTAGGTGCTTAGAAATAATGATACATTGCCCTTCTCACACCTTTCATTCAAAGATCTCAAAACACTTGACAAATCCAATTAATGTAGTCTCACAGCATCCCCACTGAGATAGAGAAGTGATGCTATTCCCATATTCCTGATGGGCAAGTGGACATTCAAATAAATGAAATGACTTACCGTAGGTCATACAAGATGTCTTCAGCAGAACTGGGAATAGAACCCAGGTCCCCTGGCACCTAGCCCTTTGATTTAACCACTAGAGCACCCTGTCACCACAAGAAGGAATTTCTCCATCTGTTTGTAGTTCTCAAATGATAAACCATCCCAATAACAGTTTGGTTGTTTTGTTTTGTTTTGTCTTAGGAATGCGAGACCTTTGAGAAGTGCTGTCCTAATGTCTGTGGGACAAAGAGTTGTGTGGCAGCTCGGTACATGGACATCAAGGGGAAGAAAGGACCCGTCGGGATGCCCAAAGAGGCAACTTGTGACCGTTTCATGTGTATCCAGCAAGGCTCAGAGTGTGATATCTGGGATGGACAGCCTGTATGCAAATGCAAAGATAGGTGTGAAAAAGAGCCCAGTTTTACCTGTGCCTCCGATGGACTCACCTATTACAACAAGTGTTATATGGATGCAGAAGCTTGCACCAAAGGCATTACTCTAAATGTAGTCACTTGTCGGTACCATCTGACCTGGCCAAATACCAGCCCCATCCCACCAGAGACTACAGTGCGCCCTACCACAGCCTATTCAGAGACAACCATCACTGATATCCTGCCACCTGCTCTAGTTAACAATCCAGTCCATCAGTCAGTGTATGTGGGAGAGACTGTTAGCTTTCTTTGCGATGTCACAGGCAGACCCAAACCAGAAATTACTTGGGAGAAGCAAATAGACAGTAAGGAAAAAATCATTATGAGGCCAAATCACGTCAGGGGGAATGTTGTGGTTACCAACATTGCCCAGCTGGTAATCTATAACACCCAGCTGCAAGATGCAGGCATTTACACATGCACTGCAAAAAACATCGGTGGCCTTCTCAGGGTTGATTTCCCATTGTCAGTCGTCAAAGGAGAACCTACATCAAAAGAAGCGTCCCAAAACAAAACCCATTTCCCAACCGATGAATGTCTGAAGCAGCCAGACAGTGAAGACTGTGGGGAAGAGCAGACCAGGTGGTATTATGATGCAAAGAAAAACAACTGCTTTACATTCATCTATGGGAACTGTAATAGCAACCTGAACCACTTTGAGACCTATGAGAACTGTATGTTAACGTGTATGAATGGCCCAATCAACATCTGCAACCTGCCAGCCCTTCAGAGTCATTGCAAAGCCTATGAGCCCAGATGGGCATACAACAGTTTGACAAAGCAATGCCAATCTTTCATTTATGGTGGCTGTGGAGGCAATGAGAATAACTTTGAGAGTAAAGAGGCCTGCGAAGAGATGTGTCCTTTCCCTAAGAACACGCACTGCAAAGCCTGCAAACCTCGCCAAAAGCTGGTGACAAGCTTCTGCAAAAGCGACTTTGTTATCCTGGGCCATATAACGGAACTAACCGAAGACCAAGACTCGGGACACGCCTTGGTGACAGTGGAGGAGATTCTAAAAGATGAAAAAATGGGATTAAAATTCCTGGGGAAGGAACCTCTAGAAATCACCCTTTTAAATATGGACTGGAGCTGCCCATGCCCCAATATGACCACAGTGGATGGTCAGCTTATCATCATGGGTGATGTCCACAATGGGATGGCCGTCCTGCAGCCAGACAGCTTTGTGGGCATCTCCAGTGTCCGGCGTGTACGAAAGCTCCGTGAAGTCATCCACAAGAAAACCTGTGAGCTTCTGAAAGAATTCTTAGGACTACACTAACCTTACTCACGTGAGTCAGCCTTTCAGCTCTGTGTATTGTATAGGGCTAACAAAAGCAAGGCTAGTGTGGAAACTAAAGACAAGCTACTGTCTGAAGATACATTGTATGTAATATGCAGAACCCTTATTTTAATCCATTAATGATTCTTAGCAACAATGTAGTATGCTCTTTGGCAATCACATAAAATATCAATGAATGGCTATTAATCTTACTTTGAAATCAACCTGTTTATATAGAATTGCCATTTAACTAGCTGATTTACTGCAATAATTATATAATTCTTGTGTAGTTTCCAACATAAAGGACCAAATTCTTAGCATTTTTGTAGCTAATTGATACATAGCTAAATTGCACGTACTGTCGATTTAATCTGTCTCACTTACAGCATGGAAATGTTATGATAAATCATTAAAAATAAGTCACAAACTTTTGTTTCCTCATGGTAACATTAAGTACATTACAAGAGACAAAACTGTAAATTATTGTCTATATTGACTATAATTACACATGTCAAGTCAATCTATGCATTATGAATGTGCTCACCTTTTCATAGAAATCCACAAAGGAATTTTCTCTGGATTGTGCCAATTTTGAATACAATGAATACAAGCCCTGCAGTCCTTACTCACGGGAAGAAAAAACATTGAAGTAAACTAGGCAATCATTCTGGGTCTATTAGCCACAAAAACAAATACATGTCCAAAGCCAGAACCACAATTTCACAATGTGTTGAGTCCAACATCAACACCACTCATTTCAATGCACGTTCCTGTTTTTGTTTTAAATAAATGTGGTGTAAAGCTAACATGAAGAGTCTTTGGAAGTGGGATGTCTGCTATCTTGGTTTTGGAAGGCCATTGCATCTGAGCATGTGTGGGGATCTATTGCTTAATTGTTAACAAGCCTGATTTTCCAGGTAATAGAGTAGAATTATAGCAGTCAGAATAAAATTAAAGATAGAAAAGTGCCATACACATTATAACCATTATGTGATACACACAGAGAAAAACAGAGCAGTATACACACATTATAGACACATTCATAAACAAACACACAGTAGGTGCACTTTAAAAGCTTCAATTAATCTGAACTTCCCCCATTCTAAACAGTATTCCCCATTATATATATATAGGAAATCTCTCTCAAATCAGTTAAAACATTCTAAGTGTGGCCACTATATATACGTGTATGTATAAATACACATACAGCAAGAGAAAGAAATATGCATGTGTGTATAAACAATATTGATCATTACTAATATTTATGTGTCTAAAAGGTAAAATTTGCATATCCACAATTTTTAAATAACAAGAAGGGTTATCTCAGAAATACCCTGCCTCTGTTAAGGAATGTCAGTGAGCTGAGATTATGAGTGTGTATGCTTACAGATGTCATTCTTATCATTATTACTAGTCTCTTTGTTCAATTGTTTAAGTGAGCTCCAGCAATAATGTCTACTGTTGCACAAAGACCAGTTCAAGCAATGGTCTGGGTCCAGAAATGTTTTAGCTTAAAGGTAAGAGGGTGTTGTTAATATTACTCTGTGGTGCCATCTACTGGCTAATCCAAGAGGCAGCAGGAGGTAGCTAAAGCTTTGCATTCTAGATGGTAAAAGGTGCGGACATGCACACACACACGTGTATGTTGGGTCTGATTATGAATGAGACACGGGGAAGTCCATGTAAAAAGTTTACCTGGCTAGATGCTGGGTTTAAGCACTTCACTGGAGACTCCTAATCCCTAAGGCCTACATATATTGTATATTTTGCAAGTGGCAACAAAGACTTCAAGGATGAAATTTAATGGACAATAAGAATGTTTTAAATATGGCCTGACACAACTTTTAAATATAGGCCCTGACTCATTTACACTAAGGCTCCTTTACACTACTCTGGCAATATGAAGATGCCTTAAAGATGCCATTCACCCACCTTAAGGCTTCTGAGCAATGTAAAGGGGCTTTTAGTGTAAGTGAGAATCAAACCCTTTCGTTTTACCCTGGTCTGGGATACAATTCATCAACAAGCACATTTTAAGCAAAGCCTGATAGAAGAGTTTCAAAAAACAAAGTCAGTATTAAAGCTCTTCTTAGCTACCAAATTTTAAAAAAGCCAAGTGTGCTATTAGTCTGTACTGCAGCACATTGTCCAGCACAATAAGTGTATGATTTTTGTTGTCTCTTTCTTAAATGGATGTAAGAAGAATTACAATAAAAACGTAATAACATTTACATACATTCTTGTGATGATCGCATTATGGGCTGGGCCTTGCCAATGTCTCTCATGCTTTGCATTCCACTGGAGTTCTTCACCTACTGTAGGTAATTCTGCTGTGTGTCATTCACCAACATTACTGCAGCTTGTTTGTCATTTTTTAGGCAGCCAGGAAATAAGGTCTGACATATTTTTTCCGGACTGAATCGCCTTCTCTGACATGAAGGAATCTAAGTGTGAGTGTTTAATAAAGGCTGGGTTTCTACAGTTATTTTCTCCAGGAGCTTAGAGGATTTCTTTGCAAACAGGGGAATGATCAAAAGACTCTGGAGACATACTCCGAGGGGTGAAAATGTACTGAATAGCAAATATCAGGTAATTGTTTCTGCCTTCAGGTAGTAAATTAAAGCCCTGAAATCTGGTGTCAGAACCAATCTCAGGATCACTACTCAGGAAAGCACTTAAACACATGCTTAACCTTAGGTCACACTGAAGTCAATGGGACTTAAGCACATACCTAATAGTTAAGTATGTGCATAAAGTGCATGTGTGCAAAGTGCACTCTGCTGAATAGGGGTGGACTGATGAATCAGCGTCATAAAAATGATAACACCGATTACCTTATTCCATGAATAGCTCCATTGAAATAAAATGGAGCAAAAACATGAGTATTAAAAATAACATTCAGCATTTATCCTAATTGTTTCCACCCCTCCCCTCCACACAGGCATGCATTATGGGATAATTCAGTTTCTGGTTGCTAAGGGACAGACTGTGTAAATAAATCTGGCCTGCAGCGTGACAGCGTGGAGGTGCACCACATCAGAGTGAGTGCAGGTGGCTCGGTCCCTATGCCAGCTTGTAGAAGTGTGCTGGTTTACCTACCCCTTGGTTTGGTATGGCCTGCTCCATCTGGCCTACCCACCAGCTCTACTGCTCAGGGTAAAGAGGGGATGTCGCCCACCTCCTCCTGTTGCACTCTGGGGCATACTGGCCCACCTCCTCCTGTTGCACTCTGGGGGGTGCAAAGAGTGAGCATAGTTCCTGTGCTCCCCCTGCACAGAGATGCACCGGGGAAAGTCCCCTTGAAACCCTTCCCCCGCTGCATACCCATACAATGGTCAGGACAGGCCGGCTCGAAGGGAGTGGCCAAAATTCTGTATGAGACAGAATTAAAACAAAGTCCATACAAGGCCCACATGACAGTAAAATGAACACTGAAAGCTGTGGGGGTCATTCAGAGAGCAATATCAACTGGTTATTTCAAAGTGACAGGAGCTGCCATGATCAAAATATGAGGGAGGCTGCACTGCAGTAGGTTTTGTATAATTTCATCTGTGGAAATATTTATTTATTTTTTAATTACAATCCTGCTGGCAGGGTGCAGATCTGGATATGCACCAAAGCAAATGGAATACACCCACTTTTCCTTTCAGGATTATGCCTCTTCCTGACAGTTATTAAAAGAGATAAAAGGCTGTCATGTCTCCTGGCTACCCCATCTTTGGGCAAGAAGAGAACATCATTATGACATACTGCGGATACCAGAAAAGGGGTGCAATCCATTAATAATACTTAGCACTGGAATGAGCCATTGCACCTCATCTGAAGATCTCAACACATTTCCCAAACATTAGTTAACTGAACTTCACAACACTCCGCTGTGTGAAGATAAGGGATCTATCAAGATCAGGTCACCTACTAACAAAGTTCTGTCCACCGTGAGGGACAGTTTGGCCGCTGTTTAATGTTTCTATGTGTTGTTAGACAACAGTTTAGGCCAGGACATGAGGAGTAGTACTGTATCCAGCTAAGGCCTCGTCTACACCACACAGCTTTTGCACTGGTATAACTAAGTTGGTTGATACAGCTATACTGGTACAACCCCTAGTATGCATACAGTTTTTAGGGTTGTCACCTCTGAAGTACAAAATAACCGGGACATCCAGGATGATCCTGAGCCCATAGAACTGGACAACTGGCAGTTTCTATAGGATTGCCACTTCCAAGGTGCAGAAACACTACCCACTGGCCAACCCTCCACGAACAAAAACAGCCATTAGCCATACTCCAATCCCCCCTAAGAAAAAGGGTCCTCGTGCCAACTATAGCTAATCACTACTACAATGTGAGATAACTATTTTACACACACACACACACACACACAGTATTTTTATGTTATTTTATCATTTTTCTTACCTTTTCCTACTAATGGCACCGCAGTCTGGACCATGAGGGTATGAGCTTTAGAACACTGTAATGTGTCCCCAGTGAAACAAAACCCCCGCACTTACAAAAACTGGCCAGGTGTCAACCTTAAGTGTGTACTGAGCACCCTTACATATTTCCCAGGACAGCTACCTCAAAAGAGGGACAATCCTAGGAAAACCTGGACACATTGCCACCTTAATAGTTATCCTGGCTAATGGTACCTTATAATGGTATCACTTGTGCCCCTTCCTTTCTGGGAATAGCTATCCTGGTATAAAGAATCTTTATACTGACATAACTGTATCCCCACTAGGGAGCTTGCACAGCTTTAACTGGGTTTGTATAGATTGCACTATACTGGAATGGACTGGTTTAGTTAAGGCAGTACGGCTTTTGAGTGAAGGCAAGGCCTGAAACTGTTGGGCAAGTTAAGAGAGGCAGAATGTAACTGACTGAGTTAAAATTGGGAAGGAAATCTACGTTTAGCATCCCTGTTCTTCCAAAAGTGCCACGGGGACCTTCTACAACCACAAGGTCGGGACTTACAGGATTGCCAACTCTTTCAATTTTATTGTGACTTTAGCGATTCTGGGGGTTTTTTAACCTGTCTCATAAACATGATGAAAGGCTTGTGAATTTTCCCTTAGTCTTGAGTGGCAGGCAGGATGATGGGATTGTCCACAGTGTTCGAGAAAGGGGGTAGCAGGGCAGGCTTTGGGGGAAGATTAAGAACTCTGTTTTAGCCATGTTGAACTTGAGATGTTGGTGGAATTCATGAAGGGATATCAGAGAGAGAGGCTGAGAGTTTAATATGCACAGAAAGGAGTCAGGTCTAGGGTAGAGAGATAGATCTGAGAGTCATCAGCATAAAGATGGTAACTATATTTGCGATTGTGGTTGAGATTACTCAGAAATAAGGTGCAGAGGGAGAAGAGAAGGAGACCAAGGACAGAGTTCTGTGGAACCTCTATTGACAATTGGAGGCGGGTCTGAAGAGGACTCTCCAAAGGACACGCTAAAGGAGCAATTAGAGAGGTAGGAGGAGAACCAAAATCGGACAGAGTAATGGACGTTAGTGATACTTACTCACCTCCTACTCCATTGCGAGGATGAGAAGGGCAACACATTATGCCTCACACAATGAGCCTACAGTTATATGGAAGCCAACCAGCATATGAATCAGAAAATGACAGTCTCAAGAAGTAGGCTGAAAAGCAAACATCACTCAGAATGCATTAGACCCATGGAATAAGTCACTAGGGAGGGTGATTGAAACAAAGAACATGAATGACTTCAACAGGCACATAGATGTACTTCTGCAGAAGGAAGGGGTCTGGGAAGGTGAAATTGAAATGAGCATGTCAAAGCAGAATGGGGCATTGAAGCTTGGGGTGTATGTAGTGTGAATTTGTCCAACATTTCCAGACTTGGGTGCCTAAGGCCAGACTTCATGGAGCATGGTTTTCAAAGGTGCTGAGATCCCAGATCAACTTCTGAAGTAAAATGACAGCCATTTCTGAAAATGAGGCACCTAAATATGAATTTAGGGGTGAGATTTTCATGGACTTTTAGTGGGATTTGGGTACCTAACTACCTTAGGCACCTAAGGTGGGATTTTCAAAAGTACCTATCTCTGGGTGTCCAGGTTTGAAAATTTGGGGACCCAGTCCTCTGAACTCTTGAATTCTAATGCAGGAAAAAACTCTCAGAGATCAATGGGATTGTGCTTGAATAAAAACAGAGGCCCAGATTCCATCACTCTTACACTAAGCTGTATTTCACTCTCCAAGTAATGTCAAGAATTGCTTTCAGTTGGACCACTCACGGAGCACCATGCTATTCAGTGTGAGTACGGGTGGGAGAACCTGACCCTGAGGTCTGGTCTACACTTAAAATACTGGCATAGCTTTGTTACCTAGAGGATGTGATTTTTTTTTAGCTGACATATCTATTCTGGCATAAACCCTAGAGTTCGTGCACCTACACCATCCTAAACAGTGGTTTTGCTGGTATGTCTCTTGGGCTGGATTTACATTACGAAGTTTGGCTACCTCCCTGCTTACACTTCCTACCTGGAGGAACTATGCGATTAGAACCCACAGTGTAGACACAACTATGCCAACTAAAGAGTGCTTCTGTTGGCATAGCCAAAATTGTTTGGGGGAGGTGGGGTAGCTATGTCGGCAAAAGAACTCCTGCCTGCTTACAGTGTGGCTACACTAGGGGGCTCTACTGGTATAACTATACTGGCCAAGGCTCTGTAGTGTAGACAAGCCTTCAGGGAACTGGTATAAACTATGCCAGCAGGAGCACTTTTATGCTTGTATAAGCTGTATTTGCCAGTATAACTATACTGGTATAGCTAAGCCAGCAAAGCTTTTCTAGTGTAGACAAGGCCTCATCAGTGAGACCTTCAGGTTTAGGCCCTGTGCTTTAAAGTCAAATATTACATATTTCCCCCAAAGCAGGCTGTAGTTAATGATTGACTACACCTGACCTCCAACTGCCTTATTGATTTACTGTTGCTGTCAGAGAACAAAAAATGAAACCCAGGCCCAGGTGCTGAGACGTGTTCTGAATGGAAATTATACAACTGAATCAAAGTGCTGCCCACTTTCTAAATCTCATCAAAAACATCAGCTCCAGGTCCTGACCTACTAATGCAAACACCGGTGGGATATGAAGATAACACCACAACGTTACTGCACATATCTATTAGTAAAAAACAGCACAGCCTGTTTAATTCACAGCTATTTATGACTGGGCAAATGATGTGACATTCAAACTTGAAAGTTAAGGGACCCAA